TGTAAGGCCACATTCAGATTGACAACTGCTACATTCAACACTGCCAAAAATGAATACAGAGCAAATTTTAACCAAGGACAAAGGGGCACACTGCTGCTGCAATAATAAAAAAAAAAAAGCGCCATAGGAGCTTTAGCAGTATATTTCCATCTAGACTCAAGATCAGCCTCTCTGTCTACAAAGTCAATTCATGCCCACAGAATTCCTGCCAGCATTTTTCTAGCAACACTCTAAGCCATGAGTGTACAACTGCATGGGTCATTCTCCATTTGATTTACATTCAGTCTAATAAACAGAGGGAATTAAAATATGCAAGTTGTGTGAGTTGATGAACTCACAAAATAAGGACAACTACCTCTACGTATATAAAGCTGGCAAGAATTTGGTTTTACATGGTCACCTAAGACACCTGCAGATGGCAAAATGTTCCAGTCATGGAGGGGTCTAGTCTGTAGCACTGGAGTCACATTTTGGTCTTGGGTAAATCACACAACCATTCTAGTTCACCTTCTCTTTTTAAAGGATCTGAAATAATAATACACATTTGCCTAACTTCAAGGGTATTGTGAGAATTAACTAATGCTAGTGTGCCCTCCAAACATGCAAAGGACTGTATGGAGCAAATGATTTAACAAGTTTTGCAGAACAAAGATTTGCAATAACCTTGCCGAATTTAGAACATACCATTTCACATAACAGATTTTTTTGAAATGGGATGTCTGTATCAAGCTGGAAAATGTTATTCTTTCAGCTGAAGAAAATATTATATAAGATTTAATCATCTACCAGAAACTTTCATAACATCTTCTCATATGGTATGTTTAAGCTGCTAGGAAGCACACTGAGGGCAACATGTAATCCGTGAGTAGAATATCAAGTGGGATAGTCAATTATTTTATTGAATGAAGTTGGTAATACTCAGACACTATTATCTTTTCTATATTTACTTTGTTTGCTTCTTTAGTTTTTACTGTATTTTCTTTGGTTCCCATTTGATTAGAAAAAAACCAAATATTTTGTTAAGAAGTATTAGATGATTAGAAAACCCTTGTAGCCAGGTAAGTAGTCATTTAAGCAGAATATTTTACTTAATTATAATTAAATACTACAAACACAGTCCTTAAAGCATAACTACAAACCAGTGAAAGGAGATGATCTTACCCTTTCACTTACTCAGCAACTCTTCTGAAATCATCTCATGTATCATCTCCTATTCTTATGTCCACATCACCAGATCCATCATGTGACCTTTTTCCTTCAGCTCACTGATACAGGGAGTCTTACAGTTACAAAATGAGGTCTGAGACTGAGGTTTGTAGGAGCAGAGTGGTGCCTTCGCAGAGTTGCGGAGTGCCCTTGAATCCCGCAGCTCACATTGAGGGAGGTCAGCAGATCTCTGCAGACATGGTTTCTCACCTAAATTATCAAGGAATATGCACTGGCCCAGAGACTGTACTGCAAGTTTGCACGCAGGGCAAGGGTAAGGGAAGAACATATCTCTGCCTTCAGCCTTGCTGGGCAAGACTGCTAAGTCAGAACAGGTTATCATGAAAGACTGGCTGAAAGAATATTTGAGGTCAACACTGCCTTGTCTCCCTGCAGGAGGGCCGTTGCTGCTACAGCACATTCCCTGCTCAACTCTTACATCGAACTGCAGAAATATGACATAATTTTCATGCTGTTTCCCTTCCTCACACAACTTGGGAAAATAGGTAAACTCCATCCAAAAGTAACTGCAACCACAGAAGCATCCTCCTGATCCTTTCCACTTGCAAATGTTTGTTGGTCACCTCTTTTCTGTGGATTCTCTGAAGCAGAACTTTCCTTTTTCATCCCTCTGCTAAATACTTATCACCACCTCCTCCCTCAGCATTGCTCAAGTAAAAGGCTGCTTCCCAGACTCCTGCCAAAAACGTCAGCTATGCCAGTGACTTTGTCAATGCTCTGTTTGCCTGTGATCCCCATCAAAACAAGCATCTGCAGGACACTAAGTCCCACCTGCTAACATCTCTGCAAAAGTGCAGCTACATTATGTGTACTCTGAAATGGTAGCAGGACTCCTTACTTATTGCAGGATCAATAACTGCCTTCTTAGATTATAAAACACTTAATTCCAGTTCTCAACAACTTCTGACTTCCCCTGCCATTCCACACACTGTTATCACAGTTAGTCTCAAGACTTTGTTACCTTCTTTTACTTCCTCTTCTCTGCAATGGCTTCACCTCCAGGATTCTCCTTCTGAGGTCAAATCTCAGCTGAGAGGTTTTGTTTTAACCTCCTCTCTTCATTTCTTTTCTCTTCTCTGTTTGTCCTCCTTAAGATTCAGGAAAAGTTTAGGAAAAACATTCCGTAAAGAAGCTTAAATTAAAAGTGCTATACATAAAAAACTTCCTTTAATTTCTCTTTATTACTATCTGGGGTAAAAAATTCTACTCACATATAGTTTGCTTATTTTTAATGCGAAATAACTTCAGCAAGTTAAACTTTATTCACCATGGAAGTAACATTTTAACCATGCTACCAAACCCTGCAGTATTTAACACACGCAGAGCAGTAATGAATATAAAGAAAGCCATAGCAGCAGTTTGGTATACATATGAGACAGTTGACTCAGAAGCCTGTAGCAGCAGCTCTCTGAAAAATCATGCATGTCAGCATTTCTTCTACTAAACTGTACTCTCTTTTGCATTCGAAAAAATAAATTAAGCAGTTGTCATGAAATTTATTATATCCTTTTGGAAAAACAGTATCCTCGAGACACCAGTGAGCTCTAAGTCTTAGAAGGGAAAAGCTATAAACCTTAAACTAAGGAGCTAACGCTAGAGATTCATCTGTCAGATGATGCACTGTTTCATGAGAACAATGTGAAAAGAACCATTCCCTCTCAGTTCTCTGCAATTTAACATGCAGCCACTGCCATGCTACATTTGCTCCATCATCCCGTTCTGAAACACTAAAACAGTGCAGACACTGAAGGTCGAAAAGTTTCCTCCTGCAATATCCTGCAGCAGGGCACTGCAGCAGGGCAGTGCCATGCCAGCAGAATCACACAGATTTGCTTCATGTTTTAGTGAGGTAACATGAACTGTTTGAACAATCTCCAGGTAATCTGCATTAAAACCATTCTACTGCAGTGTACTGCGGTATTAGGAAAGATTTCAATATCGCACCATGTGATGCAACACAACCTTACAGCACTTGGCAGTTCCTAGGCAGTGATGGAAAGCTTTGAATCGATGGCTGCAATGTAGCAACTTTCCATTTTACAAAGTAATATGACAGACTATTTTGGCTCACTATGTTAGTGTATAGCATGAAATGATACAAAATTCCTGGAATAAAATATTACAGACCTAAAAGCCAATTTTTTTTTTCTTTCTTTACTTGCCCTCCCTAATTCGGTATCATGAGGCTCTTTCAATGATAATGGACTTCCTTAACCTTAAGGGTACAGTGCACTGGTACAATGTTGTTAACTCAGTGATAAATTAGTTTTGCTAATCTATAGATTATTTTTCCTGTTCTTATTTAAGCTACCACAGATATGTCTCTCTGTCCTTCCAGGTTGCATATTTTGTAATTTAATTTAAATTTGCACATATGTTCTTCATATATAGTTTCATGGTAGTCATATAAAGCTGTAACATTTTAATGTTACTTCAATATTTACACAGATATTTTAATTAGTTCTATAAAGTTTTGGAAATGTTCCTCAGATTTACGTAGTGACATCAAAGATGCATGAAAAGCACAAGAATTTTGCCTTGAATGAACCTTTTTCACAAGGGACACAGGCAAATGCCATATTGCAAAACGGTACCTGGATATATTTTCAGCAAATGATTTTTTTTATGCGCGTTTAACAGTGTTGAGAGAGTCTTTGAAAGTCTGGAGTATCACAGTAACAGCTACAGAGGTAGCAACGTAGGTGAACTCCTGTTATCATCTGCATTAGCAACCTGCACATGCCAGGATTTCGATGCTACCTGCGATGCCTTAGCTCCGGCCCGGCGGTACGCGAAGGGCACGGGCTGCAGCGCGTTGCAATTTCCTGCAATGAGAGGATCCCTGCAGGTGCTGCTCTGTCCAGCCTCTGCGCCAGACAACTTCCCCGCGGCTTTCATGTAGGACACGGCTGGGAGAGTGTGCAAAGCACACACGGCGCGGGGGGCGAGGACAGCGCGGGCACCGCCGGTGACAGCCCTCTGCGGGGCCGCGTCCCGGAGCGCTGCCCGGGGCCTCCCTTACACAGCTGTCGCCTAAATCCCAGCATCGGGGACACGGGGCAGCACCGCACGAGAGCCCTGGTCACCTTGTCAGGGTGGACCTCATTAACGCTTCCCAGTCCCTTCCCCCACTACAGCTTTGCCACGAAACCCGCTGCGATCGGCACCTCGGGTCCAGGGTCCACCACAGAGCCCCTTCCCCCGCCAGCGCCCACAGACCTGGGCGGGCACTCGCTGCCGCCTCGCGCCCCTCAGCCAAGGCCCCTCTTTCCCCCGGGGGTCCCCCCGTACCTCGCACCAGCCATTTTCCGCCTCCCGCTGCCGCAGCTCCAGCGGTGATGTCACCGGCCGTCCCGGCCGAGTCCCCGCCGCTCGGCGATCCTTCCTCCCTCCCGGCACCGGCGGCACCTTCCTCCTCCTCCTCCTCCTCCCGCCGCCCCGCCCCGCCGTGCCGTGCCGTGCCCGCCCGGCTGCCATGCGGCGCCCGGCCCGGCCCCGCCCCGCCCGCCGATGCCCGCGGGCGCTCCGGCTCTGCCCGCCGCGCTCCCCGCTCCCGGCAGCCGTGCGGGCGCCGAGGGGAAGCCCCACCGCAACCATCACCGCGGCGGCGGCGGCTGCTGAGTCACGGCCTGAATCTCATCCCGCTCCTCCTCCTTCTCCTCCTCCACCTCCTCCTCCTCCCCCGCGCCGCCGCCTCCCGCCCGGCTGCCGGCTCCAGCAGCGCGGTGCCGGCGGCGATGCCCGCCCTGCTGCCGGGGGGAGAGGCTGCCCGGCGCTGCCCGGCCCCCCGCCGCTCGCCGCAGACCCGCGCACGCACAGGGGCAGCCGGGCGCTTGAGCCATGATTGCCGCGGCTTTCCTGGTCCTGCTGAGACCCTACAGCATCCAGTGCGCCCTCTTCTTGCTCCTGCTGCTGCTGGGGACCATTGCCACGATTTTATTCTTCTGCTGCTGGCACCGCAGGCTCCAGAAAGGGAGGCATCCCATCAAATCCGTCTTTTCAGGTCGCTCAAGGAACCGAGGTAAGAGATGCTGCCAGTCCCCGAGGGCGGCGGGGGGTGCTCCCGACTCATCCCGCGGTTTCTGCCAGCGGAGGGCCGCTCTGCCTCGGTTTAGCCGGGCAAAGGCTTTAAAGAAAATTCAAGCCGAGCTCAGGACTGCGGCAGCCTTGTCTCCACCCATCCCTTAAAGAAACGTCGGCTAGCGGGAGCGAGGTGAGGGGATGGGAAACCTCCCAGCCCTCCCCGGTCTCTCAAGTGCAGCAGAACTTTATGCTGAACTTCTTCCCGATGAATTAAATATAAATGCCGGGCGGAGCTGCCAGCTGCGCCGGGAGGGCCAGACCCGTCCCGAAGTGTGCGCCAAAGGGCGAGCCGCGGGGTAAACCCGTTAGCCGGAGCGAAATGCGAGGTGGAGCTGGTGAAGCCTGTGTGTCTTTCTGCTTGCCTTCCAGATGCTGTCATGAGAACTCATCACTTTCGCTCTGAGGTAATTTATTTAGCACGCAATTTCAAGGTCAGAAGTTGTTCTCTTTACCCGAGTACATATTGTCGTGGTCTTTTGTTAATGAAATCGCATGGTGAACTTTTCATTTTGCATGAAAAACATAATGCACTCTTTCATTTCTTGGTCTGTTTTTTTCTCCCCCAACACAAAATGAGCTCTTCATCTGTGTTACCCTAACCGGCCTGCCGATTTGTTCCATTCCCAAAGGTATTGGTTACTTGGAGGAGAGCTGTGCTTACGGTATGTGTCAGACCTCCCTCTGTCCAAAAGCAACCCTGAGCCCAGTTATTGACTGCACTGTAAATACGTGCAGAGCTGGTCAGTTTTGCAACTGCAGAACCTCTTGTTTTGCCACCAACCCTCACCTGCGCCCTGCTCCTTGCCAGGGAAGTTGCCTGCTTGACTTGGATGTTGCCGTGGGAGATCCCAGAAGGATCCAGACTACAAGCCTGTTTGGCATGCAGCTCAGTGTGTGACTTTGTATTCATAGATCAGGGGAATCAAAACTCTTACATGCCAGTGCTGAAAGTATAACACAAACCCCAGACAATTCCTAGTGATTCTGAATGAGGAGGATAATTACTGGGAAAATATGTAAAATAATATTTGGTTTAGTATACACTTTGTTTCCATGCTGCCCTGTAGAGCTCCTGTCTAGATATTTCTCTTGCCTGATTTCCTGCTATTGATTTAAGGCATATCTTCATGCCATTGCCTCATATTCTGGAAGCCTTGAGAGAGTGTTTTGCACTAAAATGATCTTCTGTTTTAAATGATTTGCATTTTTTTCTTAGCCAGCTGTGGGTGTGAAAATTACCCAGTTATGACTAATGTTTTCAAAAGTGTGCACGGGATATATTTTTGCAATGTGGTTCATATTGGCAATTAGTTTTAAACTCCTAAGTATTTTGAAATTTGTACACACTGTCACAAAAAGAAGATGACATAGAGAGTGTCCTATCTTTGTGAAAAGCCCAGGTTTGTTGTTGACTGAACAGTGCTTCAGTAAAGTCAACAACCGTGTCCCTCTAGAAATCAAAAGATTTTTTTCATTATTTAGTTTATCCAATATTAAATACTTGGTTTCCATGTAAAATTCATTCAATCCTGAGCCTAGATAGAGATGAAGTTTAATGTGTTACACCCTTTTGAAATACGTGCCATCCTGCATGGTGACCCTTAAAAGGGAAGTTTGCAGAGTAATTTATTTTTATTGCTTCACCATGTGGTTATTTGCGTATCACCCAGTCAGAAGTAGATGAATATAAAATATTTCCTAGAAGCTTCCATTTAATGAAACACTCTAAAATAAAGCAATAAAAACTGTTATATTCTTTCATAATTGTCTACATTTTGTTTACATAGAGTAACACTACAGTTAGTGGTCTAAACTGCCCTTTTAAATAAGTAGTGGAGCTGTTTTCCCCTTTATTGTCTGATGAGACTTTTGATTCTTAAGAGAAAACAATGACTCATTTGACATAATTAAATTTTCATTTTCCAATTTTTTTTCAAGTAAGATGTTATTTTAATGAATCTAATGGAATAGATTAATGAAAAAATTACAGGCATACTTCCATTAAAAATATTGGAAGCATTATCTGAAGCAGAATTTGACATTCTCAATCTATATCATCACAAAACATCACACACTTCCAACTCCAATAAGATGCTGATGAAAACAAAGAGTTATACATGAAAATATGGGCTTTGCATACTCCCCCCCCCGACTGAATGTAACATCTCAACTCCAAGTTTTATAGCACAAGGTACATCTGCTAGCTCCTGCCATACTTAGTTGTTTGTCAGGTGTAGTTATAAATGGTGTTTCTTAATTACATAGAAGATAATGAAAATTGATAGTAAATAGCAGTGGGTTGGCATTCATCTCCTGAGAGCTGCATTCAAATCTGACTTTCCTCACATGTGAACGTGCAGGTGGTCTAGCAGCAGTGCACAGAGAATTATAATTGCCCTATCTACAGAACGGTTGGCAATTCCTGCAGGATTGACTGCCTGCCAGGAAAGCCTTATATTTGGAAAAATAGATATGTGCAAATTTATGTTGAGATTCTTAGCCAGAGCCATAGCTCTTGTGGTGCATGCCTTCATTGTCTATATGCAGTGAGAACTATTGAATACCTTTCCTTTAGTACTGAACCCCCATATTAAAAAATAAGACTCTATACTTTGAGAAGGTAGATACAAAATTTGAAAGTGTATTTATGATCAGCTCTCCTGTTTTGAATTTTATATGCCACTGATGAATTGAATTCACAAATAGTTGATTTTTGGAGGGGCTTGATTTTTAATGTCTCTGAAAAATATATCTCATTATAATAGAGCAAGAGTTTATGCAGATATTGCTTATTATAGAATGAACTTAAACACTTGACCCCCTGCCTCAAAACCAGATAAATTTGCATGAATCATTATGAATATAAAGTAGGTTAAAGTCTGTCTTTGTTAGAGGTGCTTCATAACAGAAAAAATTTACCAGGAAGAAGATGTGAGAGTTTACTGAGATAATACACTTCACCACTAACACTTATTTACTACCATCTGAAGTTTTTCAGTTCTATTTTTTAGGATATTTTTATTACAGTCCTTAAGATCATTATGACTATAATTGCTCTTAAGAGTCCTCCATCCCCCAGGTGCTATAGATATTCCATGAAGTCACAAAGGAATCACACCCAGAATAGTTAATGTTTCTAATCTGAGGAAGACCTAGATATGCCATTGCTTTAAAAAGAAAACAAGTAAATTTCCAACAGAAATATTCATTGCTACATGACACGTCAGACTTTGATGTAGCAGTTTGCACTATTCTTTCTTTATTTTGAAAATCAGTTGTAGAACGAAATGTCAGTGCTGAACCCAAATGACACCAAAATAACAATATAACTCAGTGAGAGTTTTACCCAACTAGGGACTATGATTAATGGTTGGTATTATTATTATTATTAACCCCTGTATATTAAAAATATTAATGTTACTGGTGATTCACTGATTTAATTTTTCTTGTGCTCTCTGTACAAGTTTGTTTTCTCATGAAATAGAGGAATTTTCTCTGAGTACTTTGTGGACTTGGGCTTGATAGATTTCAATGTTTAGCATTTTACATTTGTACCTTTCAATTTAAAAGTATTGCTTACTGTGTTGGTGTTGCCACTTCTTGTGATTTAAATTTCTTTCTGAATTAGTTTTCCTTATTGTTGAAGCCTCTGGAGTCACAGGATTATGTGAGATTTTTACCTTTCAATTAAAAAGGAAGTAGGCTTCTAGCCTTTAGGCTGGAAGGAACTAATCCAAATGGTATAATTCTTAATATCTTTTGATTTGGTGGTAAGAACTGTTGAAAAGGAAGTTCCTCATTCAGGATCTAGAAATGGTGAGAGATTGAGAGATTTATGAGATTGTGAAGGGATAATTTTACTGACTGCTAAACCAGAAGTTAATGGGTTTCACATTATTGGGGAAAACATCTTTTGCCTGAAATTTTCTCTGAGTTTTACAGTTTTCCTTTATCTTACCTTTTAAAGAAATACTATGATCTCAGGAACTGAAGGTATCAGTGTTAATGGGTAGTCATGAGCAACATGGTTTCATTTTGTATTTATTTTATTTTGACTCATACATTTTGGGCCAGTTTCCTGTGAATGCTTCCACTGAGACCTACAGGTATAAGTCTACTAGGAAACAAATTCATAGAAGTTTTACAGTCCACTGTAAATCCTGACTTCACATAACCCAGGTGGGGCTAGACACACCAGTAAGACAAACAGGAGTTGACACTTTATGAAAAGACTCTTTGGGAGGGCTGGCAGCATGTGTTAACCACAGCTGTAGCAAAAGAATAACATTTGGTCGTTTGAGTTTTGCAGACCCCACGTTTTCTTCTTAGTACACTAAACAGTGCCTACAATGTTGTATGTATTTGGTCTATTGTTGTGACAAGACTGGTAGTGAAATAGGTCAGCCAAGACTGATGATAATTTTTAAGAGCAAATGGATTTTCTAAATCATCAATTATGGTACAATGGATGCAAAACAATAGTACAACAGTCTCTGGGAAATGTATGTATTACTTTGCCCAGAAAAAATGTTCATAAATTTATCTCTAAGCATACCTTTGCCATAATCATCTCCCTTCTGAGACTGATCATGAGACAGTTGCCTAAAAATACAGTTCAGATATCTTGCAAAACAATAATGAATAGTCTTTGAAGAGTTGCACAATAATTCATCCTGAGCATTGCAGCTATTTATAAACTGCTCCAGATATGTACAGCTTCAGTGAAAACAGAAATCAGCAGACCCTCCAAGCTGAATTTGAGTCTTCTGTTTGACTGGAGGGAGTGCATTCAAGGAGCACCAGAAACATGCAGGACTAGCCAGAAAAATACATTCACTCACCTATTGAAAGGATGTGTCCTTGTCTTTGCAGAGCTGAATCAGCCTGAAAATATTTTATCTTTGTGTTTGACGTGCTTTTCCCTCAGGATGTTTAAACTATTTTTCCATTAGCTGTCTAAGAGTTAAGGAGCAGGTTCAAGGGAATATAAATTGTTTTCTTAGATGTATGAAAGCACTTATGTACAGGAATGAATGAAGAGCTATATATACAGGTTATACTGTATAAGGACAAATCCATCTGTCCATTTTTCAGTAACATGTCCAATAATGTGGCCCAGAGAGGGTACGTCATACTGAGCTGTCACATGGCAAACTAGGTATCACTGAGATTTGGCTTACTATATGTCATCTGTCCATCACTCTTTGTCAGCTTTAGTCACTGCAGTGCTGCCTTTAGATAGCCCAGCAAGTACTGATCTATACTGAGGAACAGCTTGTTCGGTAATTGTATCAAAAAACATGGCAATTGCCTGGTTGCTGCAGCAGGACCACTTGGGTTCCTGAACTAAACTAACTTCAGAGGAGTTAACTTGGGTACCTCTACTCTGTGCTAAAGTGTAGTG